ATCATAGTCAAGCTCAGCGGATGCATCTCCTGCACCAAAACTATTGTTTGCTTCATTACCAACGCTGTCGTTGTTTGCCGCCGCATCCGCTGCCATTTCTCTCTGCTTCTCGGCCGCAGCCTGTGCGACCTGCGTCTTAAATGAAAATGTGGACGGAGATAGTCCACTGAAAATGTTGCTCGAAGTTTTATTGCCGAGATTGAAAGTAAAATCACTTCCGGCAAGTACTGGCGGCTCTGTGGTCTGTACTAGACTTGGCTTAATATGCTGCGGCGGTATGGTGACGCTAAGCGTGGGTTGAGCCGTGGCAACTGCTGTCTTGGGAAGCGGATCTGAGCTGGTGATGACCACATTGGCTGGTGGCTCCTTTTCCACGGGCTGATTATTAAGGGCGCGATTGAAAACAGCAGCAGGAGCTGGTATTGGAGCAGCGGATGTGGTGCTGACCGAAGTAACGGATGTGGACGCAGCACTTGCGGACAGATTTACTGGAGCTGGAGCTGCGGGCACAGATGCAGATATAGAAGTAATTACTCCAGCAGTGGATAGGGAAATTGATGTTGTCGCTGCCATGGGCTTCTGCTGCGCCAGAGGAGGCTGCACTGATGGCGGCAGTTGTTGAGTCGCTTGTCCAACACTCTGTGGAACTGGAACGGAAGCTGGCCCAAAGGGTGTAGGTGCACTGTTGAAAAAGTTTGCTGTGGAAACTATGGGCACATTCGGCGCTGCTGGCGGCTGGCTGAACTGTGACTGCGGAGCTTGCGGAATCACTAAACTGGATGGCGGCGGCGGCATTCCATAATTCAATCCCTCAATAAACGGTGCTCCTGTCGGATTTTGATACATATTTGGCGGCACTCCGAAATTGGTTGGTGGGCGTGGACCTGCATAAGAAGTAGATGTAAATGTATTCATTATTTAATTAATACTGAAATAAATAATCTGTTAACTGCCAAAGACAAATTTCGACTGTGTTCCTAAGCCATGTAAACTACTGTAATGAATTTTTTTTAAAGACAAATCTAGATGCTAACTCGACGTTTTATGTAAAGCTAGATTAGATGACAAGTGCTTATAAATAACTATATATACATTCATTACAATCTTACGGTTTTGAATAATTTTAAAAGCTTACCATAGAAAGGCGGCGGCAGGTTTGTTGGCGCCGGAGGAGTTCTCATGAACTGAGCCTGGCTAGCAAAGTAGTTGTACATCTGATTCTGATTGAACATGGGACTGTTGTATGCTGCATTCGAATGGGGAGCATTTCCAGCTGGCGGAAAGAATCGATCTTGGGCATTATGAGCTGGTGGCACAGTGTTCAGGAAATTCGTCTGGATCGCATCATCCAAGTTCAGGTATTCATCCAGACCCAGAGCAGCCGCAGCTGCCGCCGCGTCAACCTCGCGGGTTTGCGATTCATTTCCACTTATCTTGCACTTTTTGAGCAATTCTTCAAGACTATCAAACTTGTCCGCTAAGGTTTTGACTTCCTGTCGCATGGCCTCCATTCCGTCACCCACATCAACCTTTAGCGTATCCAATTGCTTGCTGAGCTCTTTCATTGTATGCTCCAGCTGTAGAGTGGCAAGGTTCTGCGACTCCGCTTGGCGTCTCGAGCGATTGAGGGAACGATTAAGTGCATTTGCAGCGCCGGTATAAAAATCATCCTCTGCATCCTCATACGCACTGGAGTTGTTATGATGTTCAGGTGAACAGTATGGCTCATCAGACATGGAAACCTTCAGTTCACGCTGCACCACAGAGTTCAACGGATGATCGACAGCATTGCCCAGCAAAGCCTTCGTTTCTCTCAGGCATTCTATGCGTCGCTCCTGAAAGTTTTGCCGAGCCACTCGAGAGGCGTGGCTGGACTCTGCCAGTTGACGATAGGACTCTGCTTGCAGATAAGTGGCCATTGGCAACCTCAGGCCACGTATGTCCTTCACAAACTCTTGCAAATTTCCCATCTTTATTGACCGCCTGTTCAAATAGGAGAGTGCATCTTCAGCCAACGTCTCGATCTGCGTCCACACGTCGCTGGCATTTGCATTTAAATACTTAAAGTATCTGTAAAACGGTTCCAACTTATGCTCTTGATGGCGTATCATCATGCTTATGGCCAGCTTGTAGAAGGCCTCGATTCGCTGCTCCAAACAGGGAGCATCCTCACGGCTGGCTAGCAGCTTGCCCAGCTGCAGCAGCATTATTATCTCAATGTGCGGCTCGTTCTGGCAGCGTATCACTTCTAGACCAAATTGGAGCTGATCTCGACTCTCAACGCGATCAGTCATATTGACGTTGTCATGGATGCGCTGCATTACATTCCACCAGGTGTTCTGTTCCGTCGTTATTAGCTCGTTGCGTCCAACAATGTTAGCAAATGGAAACATAAACGGACGATCGGCCGCAATGCGATTGCCGACATGGGAGCTGTTGTAAGTCTCACGCTGCACCTCCAACCTGCGCTGTGCCTGAAGCACCACAGCATACAGGAATACGTCAACATCCACTTGGCAAAGAGTGTCCACGCTACAGTTGCTCAAATCCTTTTTACTGTCTCGCCGGAACGCTTTGTAGAAGTGGACGCGCGGCGCCTCAGCTAAATTCTCCGCACTGAGCGCTAAGTAAACATGATGCTCCAGGGTTGGTGGAGCTAGCTTAAGCGCCAGCTGCTCGAACTCCTCGATCTCGGCTACGGAAGGCCACTCGTACAGTGGTTGCTGCAGGCGCTGATCCTGCACCAAATGCGACGACTTTTCCTTCAGCTTTGTTTCGGGGTGCGTGTATAGCTGTTGATAGAGCTGTGAGCGCCACTGGCTGTCCACGCAACGCTGCCGCGCCGTCTCTAATAGCTCAGTGCTGCTAGGCCAAAGGCCTTGCACTTGATTGACTGCATCATTTGGAGGAGTTTGCACACAGCCGTGCAGCGTACGCCCCAGCTGAGCACACCGAAAGGCGGCTTGATGCTGCCAGAGCTCCAGTAGCTTCTGTTGCACACTGCTACAGTGACGTTGCCAGTAAGAGGATTTCTCCTTAATTGAGTTCTGTTGATATCCAAGCAAGAGCAACGGCAGAGCCGCACGCACCGTGCTGAACCATTTGTTTTTGTTGCTCAACATTTCGCGCTTGAAGAGCACCGTTGCAGCGTGTAAAAGAAACTGTCCAGAGTAGTGTTCCAGGCAACGCTGGTGCAGTTCATGGCCGTTATTTATCGATAGCTGATCGGCAAGGAGACTAAACTTGTATACATATTGATCAAGTTTGAAGAGCAGAGCGAGGCTTTCCCCCAGACTGTTGTTGGTATCGGACTGAAGATTCAGCTGAAGGAGACGATCGATAGTGATTAGCAATAGCTGCCAGAACGGCCAGTCCTTCGATATATCTTTGGACTCGCTCTTGAGCAGCACCATCCAAATGGCATCGTACCACTCGATCGATTGAGACTGAGCCGGCATTTCCATTTCCGTTTTATATGCATACTTGAACGCTTCATCGATGCGTTTCTTCTCCAAGAATGTTTGTATCAGACGCAACTGCAACAAACTGTTATTCGGATGCGACATCAGCTCTTTTTTAATAACCAGCTCCATCGAATTATTCTGCTCGGCTGAATCCGCTGTGCTGGCCGTAGCGCGCATACGTAGAGCAAGTAGCAGCTCGCTTTCCTGCAGATCCTCAACCTTGCTGGCCAACTCTAGCCAAAAGGAAGCCCGGTCCGGGCTGCAAAGATTACTTTGTTCAATAAGTAGTTTGCAACTCTCCTTTATCACGTCCGGCTGCTTCGGATTTAACTGAATAGATCGTTGATAATGATCCAAAGCCTTTTGATAATCCGGCTGCTTTTGCTGTTTGTAGCATCGGGCGATTAGCTTATGAGCACCAGCATCATCGTTGATCTTTAAAAACGCATTCAAGTGTTCAATAGCCTTTGAGTATTCTTGTATCTTGCTGTACAAGCGGCCAACCGCCCAACCTTTCATGTCGCGCTGTTATGATGGGAGTAAAGCAAAGTGAACATAACCTCAATTAGCATTTTAGTATAAACTGTATGTTTAGTTGTAATATTGTGAGTCTTAATTTAGTATTAGCATTCGTTCTCATTTATTTTGTATTCTTATTTAAATTAATAATACACAAATTTTCCTTATTATACTCGTACATTCTCGCAAAGCGGCTTCTTGACATCATATTAAGAGACGCCGACAGCCAAATGCTCATACATACATACATATGTATATACGTATGCATGTGTACATATGCATGTATGCGCATTAATGGCGGGCGCCTATTTCGCAAGCGTTGCTAGAAAAAAACTTTGATCCAAGAATATTGATATTAATGCATACAACTAACCTCTGAGCCAGGCGGCACCTTCGAAAACATCTTGTGGACATGCTCATCTACCTCTTTCCGAGTTGTAAACATTTTGTCAATTCCAATTACGTTAGTAGCTTGTATTATTCACTTTCTTGTGTGCAAAAATGTGCCTCGTCCTCGCTCGTCATATACTCAGCGACAGACTAAAGCAATTTTCTTATATTTTAAGAAAAGGATACTATATTTTTATGAGCTCGTTGTTATACTTTTATGTATTGTTCTTGCTTGTTCTTATAACAAAAATAACTTTTTATTTTTTAATGCGATCAGAACAGCAATTAACTACTTTTTAGCGCGCACGCAGCGCCGAGTTGTGCAAATATGCTTATAAGATCAATCGGTATATCGATATACGTCCAAACTTATCGAAATACGCCGAAATTGTTGATTATACAAACATTTTATTCAATTTAGTTACACTTTGCATTATTGCATACAAACTTTAACCAATTTTATCTGGGTACATACAATACAATATTTTGATAAATAACTCCTAAATTACAGTAAAGTATGACCAAAGAAATAAAATCTTTAATCCTGTACAATTAGAAACTATCGATTAGGTTGCATATTGACGATAATGGTCAATGACCAAATTTCGATACCTTTTGACTTGGCTTGCTTTGTTTGTTTGTGTGCGTATATATATGTGTGTGAATAAATTGTGTACGATAATTTGTAAATATAAGTGTTAAAACATTTAAAAGCCACAACAAAGCAGTTTTCAACTAATATATCAGTACATTTGTTAAGGACACTACAGAACACGATAATATGCAAGTATTACTGACCTCCGGAGACAAGCAATTGATATAACAGTTTGCGAAGCATTGCAAGCTTGTGGCAAATTTAAGAGCGCCGCTCTCCACAGTTTTAGACGCTGCAGAGAGTGTCGATAAAAAGTGCTTATTTACAATAAATCGATAGGTGCGCGTAAGCGCAGCCAACTTAACAGAAAAATGTAGCTGCGAAGAAGTAGAAAAATCGTATATGAACAAGGAGGAAAAGTTGAAAATAAACAGAAATACATACCGATTGCACGAAAAGCAAGTTGTTCAAAAGTTCAAATCACGTAGAGAAGAGTTGTTAATTAACCGAGAGCCCGTTTGCATCGACATCCAGACGCGTACGAAATTGCATCAGAATGCCTGATTCCGGTGACTGCAGCGATGCAGAGATGAATCAGCCGTCGTGCAGCAGGAAGGCTGCACAGAGTAACGATCGCGAAAAGAGAAAAAGTCGTGTAATTATGCGAATAGAATTTAAGGACTCCGATGACACGGACTCGGATGATTCGTGCTCCGATTCAAGCAATGACAATGATGCCCCCGCTTCTGCTTCTGCCTCTGTGAGTGTGGGTGTGGGTGTTGACCTTGGTACGCGGCTACCAGGCGCTCCATCTTCCCCACCCCGCCGGAGTACCCGCAGTCAACATGTGAATCGCGACGCTAACGCAACTGGAGCTTCACACACATCTGGTCGCCAGCTCCGAAGACGTGCAGACACAAAACGTCTTCCCTCAGACAGCGATCCAGACAGCAATAGTGAGGTAAAACATTTTTCACATGTAAAGCATATAATAAATTCAAACGGCCAGCTGTATATTTAATTTAAAAATGTGGTGTATGCCATGTCTGTGGAAATTGTCGGAGCCAAGTGAATAGGGATTATATTACTTCTGAAAAATTTCAATATCTGTTTATTAGATATGCTTTAACTTAATAGTTTCAAACTAATGCTAATTAACATTTATAAATTTACATTTGCCTCAGGTTAACGAACGTCTTGCCAGAAAGCGCAATCGTGGAAAGAAACGAAAGAAATTGATCATTTCCGATGATGATAGTGAGGATACAAATAGTATTGCAAATAATAACATCAGGACGGCTGCTCAGCGGGAACTCGATGGCAACAGTTCCGACAGCAGCAGCAATGAGCTGTTGGAGAAGTGCCCAATCTGCCTGCTGACGTTCCGTCAGCAAGAGATCGGCAGACCCGTAACATGCGAACACTTGTTTTGTGCAACCTGCATCGAAGCATGGGCAAGCAATGTGCAGACTTGCCCCATAGACCGTCTGGCGTTCGATAGGATCGTCGTTCTAGATCATTGCGTACGCCGTAACATAGTGCGCGAAGTTCGTGTGGATCTGAGCAAGTCCAAGAAAGAGCTGGTTCTGGACGATGAAGATGATGTTGCTGGCTCTGTGGTCAATGAGGACGATGTGACCAATTGCGAAATATGCAACAGTCCCGACCGTGAAGATATAATGCTTCTTTGCGACAGCTGCAACCAAGGCTATCACATGGACTGTTTGGATCCCCCTCTCTTTGCAATACCTGTAGGCTCCTGGTACTGTGACAACTGCATTGATTCAAATGACGAGGATGAAGATGAGGAGCTGGAGCTTGCTGAGGACCTGCATACACTGTACGAAGACATTCGTGGAATGGGACTGCCAGAAACACGTTTGCGTGTGCGACAAGTCCAGCAGCCTCGTATTCTGCGCACTCGCCAAAATGAGCGCATACGGGCAGCAGTCTTGCGCCATACGCAGCCAAACTCCTCGAGACAGAGGCAGTCGAGAGGAGCAGCTCAGGTGGAAACCACGACAATGACGGAGACAACAACTCGACGCAGTCGGAATGTCACCACAACGAGAACCACACGCACCACAACAACAAGACGCAATGGAACGTCGCGACGACGGCGCAGCCGACGAACCCATCGCACCTACGTTGTGGAGTATGATCTCAACAACTTCGATGAGAAGTTCGCAGTGAAGACGAAGAAGAAGGTCATACGGCGGCGACGCAGGCGGAAAGTAAGCCGCAAAGCAAATTCCCGAAATGTGGGCAGAAACGCCGAGGAGTCTTCGCGAATGTCGGCCAGCAAACGGTTAGCCGAACAACTAGGAGTCAAAATAGATGGAGTTCGTGGGTCCCATATAAGCGGAGGCAGTGCCTCGAGCTTCACGCTCTTTGGCAATCGTAACGACTTGGAGTACTTTTCCGATACGGATGAAGTGCCCGACGATTTGGGAGGAGATATCAATACTGAGCATTCCGCATCAACTGCGGTTCAGACATCAGTTCGAAATTCGAATATTGGCGCACCGAGGAATCGGAAAGCCCTTCTCCTAGGCAAAGCGCGCATGGCCGCTCCGAGTCGTGGATCGGCCACCAGCGACATCTTATCCAGTATAATGGAACTGCAGGATCGTTGGCACAGCGCATCTCGAAATCTGAGCGAAGTCCACATTAACGCGGATGGGAGTCTGAAACTGCCGGAGAGATCGACGAGTAAACCAACTGATGCACAGCAGCAAAAGGAACATATCACTCAAGTCCCACTCTATCAGCGAGGTGGCGCCGGGCCGAATTTGGGCCGAGGTGGCGCAGGGAACTACAACAATCGCTATAGTGGCGTCAACTCCCGAGGAAGCGGCGGAGGCGGTACTGGAGGCAATGCAGTCGCTACCAATCAGTACCAGCAACAACACTCAACGGGTGGCGTGTCGAATAACGGGGATAATCCGGGTGCAGAATCCAGTTATGGCAATCAGAGTTTCAATAGCAACAACAACCCCAACAACGGCCTCAACAATTCGACGCCCAACACGAACTTTACGCCGTTCAACATTCGCTTTAATGCGACCAATCAACAACAGCGCAATCAGAACCTGCAGCAAACCCGCCAACCGTCATTCTCCAGCGGCATGCGCATGCCCTTGACGCCAGCTGGCGCTCCATCCACGAGCTTTGCCCCCATGGTGCCCCAGCCACAGCCTCAGCAGCAGCAACAGCAGCAGGGCCAACTCTTCAGTGGCTTGCCCGCGCCCATTAATACACCAGTTCTCGGTGCGCGCCTATCAATGCCGCCGGTGTTGACTGTGCCTCCGCCGCCAGCACCGCCGCCCAGCTTGTCTTGGAATAGCTCGTTGTTTAAAATAAATCCGGATTATGCAAAGGAAAGCAATGCTAAAAAGGGCGACGATGAGGACGACGACGACAACTGTCCGAACTTCTCAATTTACTCACAAGAATCGCAGGCGGTCGCCACAGATTTGTTCGCGCAGCCAAAGAAGGCCGCCAGGAACTTGGATCAGGTATGAATTGGATTCGATTTAAAAATGTTTGAGAAATGGCCAAAATCGACGTGTCCAATTAGCAAAGACTAACATAGAGCAATTAGATTGAAATTCTATATAGATTAGAAATAGTACTTTGATAGCATAGTAAATATATATGCATATATTCTTGATCAGAACGACGACCAAAGCTGATATAACCACATCCATCTGTCCATCCATATGAAAGCATTGATGTCGTAAACTACAAAACTTAGAAACTTGAAACAATATGTGTATACTATTTTATACTATACGCAGTATAAGCTTTTCGCTAACTCTCTTTCATTTTCTATTATCCATTTTGTCTATAATATTATCGGTAGTAATTTATAATTCACCGGTAATTCTGAAGAGCGTCTATAGAATGGAGATTTTATAATTTTTTAATACACTACTAGAAACCTGCGCTACAAATCAAATTAAAGATAGTCCATCTGCAAGGCAACTTATTCAACAGTTACTGCAACTCAATCACAGTCGATGCATACGCATGTATGTGTGCTCATGTTGTTTCTATTTTTGCATAAGAGACGTCTAGACTAAATTGGATTATCACCTCCTCGTAGTCTTCCAGGTTGAGAGTCTTGACTAGAGCACTCTTAGTTGCTATATTTTATTTCTTTCACTCATTGTGAAATGTAAAATACGAGTTTAGGTTAATTACTAAGTATTTTCAAGCTAAAACAAGTAAGAAAGCTGTAGTCGAGACTGCCCGACTACGAGATCCCCTGAACCCTTCGGGCAACTGATGAAATACACACACACACAAACAGACAGACAGACTGCAGTTTCGGCTTACTATGGGAACTTAATTGTTTGATAACTTTTTTTGTGGATGTAGTTTCTTCATGAGACTCGGATCGTAATTATAACATTAAAGTGCGTGTATGTGCCAAAGCCTTTTACAAAGGTGTTGGTGAGGGAGTGGATATAGGGGTGGGGCGTGAATTAGAAAAAAAAAATCGAAATTCTATAAAATACATAAGAATTTACATTCACAATTTTGCGACTCTAGCTTTAAAGATATTGGAGATATAATTAAATAGCTTATTTTCGATAATGTTTTTATCGATTTTTGGAGATAAACTCGATATCCGCGCAATATATATGGACATTTGAAGAAAAAAAAATCAAGTCTCAAGTTCAAATATACGAACAGACGGACGGACAGGGCAAAATCCACTCAGCTCGGCACCCTGATCAAGAATATATATACTTTGCCTGTTACATACATTTCAACAAATTCATTATACCCTGATTTCCTATTTTCAATGGGTTCAGGGTATAAAAAGACTAATAGCTTATATCATGGGCTAATTTTAAAGATAAAAAAAATGGGTTTTGGGAAAGAATACAAAGGAAGCCAAATACCGTTAAAACTAAGAGGGCAAATGATACAATGTATATATAAATATTTAGTTTATATACATATCTATATATATATATTGGATATCTACACAAATAATATGTATGAATATATTCTTATACCATTGTGCCATTCTAATTTTTGGTATACTCATTTTCTTCCATTAATCAAATGGCTCCGGAGCATTAAAGTATTGATAGCTAATGCAAATAGTTGTTGCAGCATCTTCAAATTGATGCTCTGTCTATTGTAGCTCCTATTGAAGCCGTAATTATCCATTGCATGCTAACCGTCATATGTTATTTTCTCTCTTTCAATTTTATAATTATTTTACTTACTCAGGATGATGACAACCTGAATGAAGATTTAGTACAATTAGATGATGATGAAGACATACCGTTGCCGCCAGAGCCCCAAGCAAGCGACACAGCCGTCAGCGGCAATGCAGATCACAATGACGCGAGTGACCTGTATGAGCCGGAAAACCCGACAGAAGAACCAGAAGAGGACGAGAAGGAGAACGCAAAAATGTCAACTAAGAGCGATGACTGCACCGCTGATGCAAGCAATGACAATGTGGAAGGCAGCAATATGGATTCCGAATTAAGTGCAGTAGGCACCTCAGCTGACAAGGAACCGGACAATGATGAAGAAACAAAGACCCATAGTACCCCAAGTCCGCTTATCAAGGATGGCCGCACGGTAGACCGGGGCAAAGGTGTGCTGGAGCTCTACGATGACAGCGACTGGGAGGAGCTGGATATTGATAAGCCGAAAGAGTTTGAGAAGGCGCTCAACGAAGAAGGGGTTGAGGCTGATGCACTCACTGCTAGCAAGAAGAAGAAAAACGAGGACGACGCATCACCGAAGTCTTCGAGCAGCGAGTCAGACCAAGATCGATCCTATACGCCCTGCTTGGATGAAAAGCATATTGAAGAGGATGTCGCTGTCACAAACCAAAGCGAAAAGTCGGAAATACCAGGCGAAGCCAAGAAGAGCAATACCAAAGCGTCTGAAGCTGTCAAAGTCAGTGAGGAGCGTGTGGCCGGCATGGGCACAGAACTTATTTCCGAAGACGAAGAATTGGCCAATGAGAACGAGCCAAAACGGCGCAGTCGGAGTCGCAGTCGTCATCACAATGATAGCGATCACAAGGCTAGCAAATCCAAGCGCAGCAGTAAGCGCAGCAAGGAAACTTCTGAGACATTCAAAAAAGTTGGCAAACGCCGGAAGGACCGCAATTACCGTGGGGACAAACACCATCAGGATCGCACCCATTCCCGTCGCTCCCACTCAAATACATCACGCTCTGTCAGTCGCAGCGGCAGCAATCGCAGTCGCAGTCGCAGTCGCAGCCGTAGTCGTAGCCGCAGTCGCAGCATTACGAGATCACCGCGCAGCCGTAGACGCAATACTCGGTCTAAGTCGTATTCACGATCAAGATCCCACTCGCATAGTCCCAATGGTGGACGGCATCGCTCTGGCTTTAGGAGTCGCGAAAATCTTCGCGGATTTGGTCGTGGTCGTGGCGGAGCACGCTTCAGTTTTCGAAATCAGCAATTCCAGCATAGACCCTACCAGCAGTCGCACCATCAAAGCCAATACCAACAGCAGTACCACCACCACCATCATCAGACGCAGACGCAGAGCCAATATCCACTGCAGCCGGTTTCTCAGCGGCCTAAGCGACGCGAGCTGCCGCGCTACGATGTACGCAACGTTGTCAGCGCCTCCCGCCACCACCAGAAGGATCGCTATGGTCGGGACGCCACCCGATCTGCCAGGAGTCGATCCAATAGCTGCAATCGACGACAGCACTCGCGTAGCTATTCACGAAGTAGCTCACGAACACGCTCGCGCACAGTATCACCGAAACGGTTTCGCAGTTTTAGTATTTCGCCGTCGCCACCCTTGGGCATGGCGCGGCATCAGCATGAGGAGGACATCCGTCGCAGATCAGTGTCACCGAGCAGAAGGCGCTTCGAGCGGTCGCCGTCTAATTCGCAGCCGCTGCAAGCAACGCACCGCAACAGTCCGCTGCAGCGGAGCAACAGCACAATGTCGCTGCGCTCCCGCTCTAATACGCCGGCGCGGATGAACGGCAACCGCAATGTGCAGGGCGGAGCGAAGAATTCACCGGGCTATTCGCCGCGCTATACGCCACGGCTCAGTCGCAGCCTATCAAAGAGTCCAAGGAAGAAGAAGAAAAAGAAGAGTGATAAGAAGAAGAAGGGCAAGAAACGACCCGCCAGCAGCAGTCCAGTGGGTCGACAGCGCCGCATTTCGCGGCAACGCGATCCGTTCGACGATGCCGACGATTTCCTTGCGCCCCAGTTGGGCAAGAAGTCCAAAAAATCGTCAACGGGACTGTCGGCAATGCACTGGTCCCCATCTCCTACACCCAGCCTGTCTGCCGAGCATCTGAACTTTATGCACGATAGTGGGGCTGGATTAGGTGGTGAGAAACCTGCTTCGTGGACGCCTCCGCTGGCGTCTCCACAAGCGAGTGGAACGCACTATGCTGGCAATCCTCACCTCAGCATGACGCCAGTAATGGGAAAGAAAGTAAAGACCAAGCGGGACAAGACCAAGAAGAAGAAGAAACCGTTGGAAAAGCAGCGCAAGGAGAAGAAGCGCAAGCGCCATACCATGACACCTGAACCACTGCCCTCCAAGGAGGTGTTCGCCTCGGGCAACAATATTCTGGTCAGCGTTAGCTTCAACAAGGAAGCCAGCAGTACTCTGGCAGGCTCAGCACAGCAGCAGACTGTAGTCACATTGCCGCCCACTAGGGAGGAGTTCCTCGGAAGCCGACGCATGTCCACAGACAGGATAACCAACAGCAGTAGTGGCATAACGAGCAAGAAGGCCAAGCGCAAGCGGAAGAAACTGGATGCCAAACCTGTGGCTATCATCGACCTGGAGCGCTCACCGTTCCAAGTTCACCAGGAGCCTGCCGATGTCATTGTGCTCACCGACAGCGAGGATGCAAATGATAGCCAAGCTCTGCGACGCGACCGGCGTCGTAGTAGCGTTGCCTCCGCAACCGATCACAGCATGATGCGAGAGAATGGGCAGCGTGAAAAGACGCCGTCGGCATGCTTGGAGACCATTTTGGAAACCTCATACGATAATCTGCCGCAGACGACTGGCCCGAAGACACCACCTGAGCCGCATCTAGTGAAGTTCAATTTACCCGCCAAAAAGCAACACAAAGTGCGTAACAACCCGCTGCATGACGATGCCGACGATATACACTCCGCGGACGAGCTGGACACAGTCTGCACGATGCGTGGTCCTATTGACGACGAGCCGCAACAGCCACACGCCAACGAGGGCATGATTTCAGCGCAAAAGATTGGTCCGAATACGCCACCTGAGTCGGGGCCGTGCTCTCCCGATGCCTATGATCCGTTCGAGCCGACGAAGTCACCCTCACTATCACCGCGCTCCCCAACACCCACTCCTGCCCAGAATCTAGAGCCAATGACGTTGCAGGCTTCCACTGGCGGCAGCGGAAGCGTTTGCGGCGGAGGGGAGAAAATTGAATCGTGCAGTCAGAAGCACAACAGCCACAATGAGGACATGGCGGACATTAACATAGGCACGCCGACCCTATCGAATGCTAGCAATCCAACCTCGCAAGCAAATACGAGTGCCAGCATTAATCCAGTCGACCTGGTCATGGCGCTTATGAATAAGCCAAGCAACAGCATGCAACAGGAGATGGCCAACAAGTCGTGCGACGTTTCGTCGGCATCCTACCTGAACAGCACCACAATGAGCACCTCGATGGCGGTGTCTGGTGCCGACGAGAAGCTTGCCGATAACACAATCACAGTCCTGTCGAATGTCCTGCTCACAAGCAGCACCGTCGTGTCCTCATCGCAGCACATACCTGTTATTTCTAGTCCGCCGTCGTCACTAGGGAGGAAGCTAGGCACCCTGCCCAAAGCGGGCGGCAGCGCGGCTAGCACCAACAGTGGTGCAGCGAACCTGCCATCGGGCAGTGGCACAATACGCAACGGCAACACAGGAAGTGGAGGAGGCATGACCAATGTGCTGGATGACTCTTTCAATATGGAAATCGAGAGTCCATACTCTCCGGGCTCGGCAGACTACGAGGATCTATTCGAGCCCCCGCCAGAAGGCGGCAACGCCATCGGCTCCAATCGACGCTCGAAGAACGCACCCGCAGGAGGCAAAGCGGAGATGTTTGACAATCTCTTTGGAAGCAGCTCCCCCGTGGGCCAGCATCGAATGTCGTCGCGGTACAATAATGCGAGCGGAAGGAAACAACAACGTGCAAATAACAAAAATGAACGCAAATCAAAAGTCAAAGGTGGGTTCACCCTATATAATATGTCTGTTATCGATAATAACATATGTTATTATAATATGTTATTAGCAGACCAAGATTAATTTTATATGTGTTCTATCAAAGGACATAAACCCTTTCGTCAGTTTCATATATTTCCAATGTCCAGATACCTTATTTGTTAACGGCTTAAGCCAAATATATTTAGCTTTTACACTATCTTTAAAATATAAGAGTTATGACGATAGCTTGCATGGAATCAGCTAGAAAACAGTTTGTCTTTACATTACATTACATTTTTGTGATTTGATTAGAGAATAGCATAGATATCCTAGCTTTTCCTTGATTATTATATAATTGAAGAGAATTTAGTTTATGCTAAAATAATATTTAAAGAAATTTTGATTTGTTGCCATTTTCAAACAATTATTTCAAGCGATTATCCAATAGGATTTTATTTATTACAAATTTATTTCTTTTGGTTTTAGGAAATAAAGTGGTTGAGGAGCATGGAAAAGTGTATGACGATGTACCCAGCTCCGCAGTCGACTTACAAGTCAAGGATAGGGTAAGTGAAGATTATAATTATGAAATGGTGAAATGAAACTAGTTCAACAATAATTTGCAGTTTATACGTAAGCTAAACCGCCAGGAACGTGTTGTTGAGGAGGTCAAATTGGTATTAAAACCCCACTTCAACAAGAAAGTAATCACAAAAGAAGATTACAAGGATATCATGCGACGCGCAGTACCAAAAGTATGTGGCTAATACAAATCAATGATATACAAGAAATTGACAACAATGTAATAATATTATTGTAAACATTTCTAGATCTGTCACAGTCGCTCTGGTGAAATCAATCCCCATAAAATCAAAAACTTGATTGATGCATATGTAAAGAAATTCCGCGCTAAGCACAAGAAGTTGAGTCTGCTAAATACCGGGCAAGTAAGCAGCGCTGTCAAGTGTGCTGCCTACTTAAAAAAGCTATAAGCAAATGTAGGGAGAGGAACTGGTATGGATTGTCGATTAAATTGGCAAATGTTGGTTTACTTTAACTGAATATGATTTGTCTTCGCAGCGTTTTCTTCACAAACCATAAAATTATGTTCAGCGGCCGCATGCATTCCTACGCCTTCATTAATCACAATCGCCGCCCGTAAGCGCAAATACATAAATTGTCATTGCTATTGAACTTTAGTTGTTAAGTAAATTTTAGGTTATACCACGAATGATTTTAGTGATTAAGCCAATGCAGAAGTGAAAATATATATTAAGCAGTAAACTCGTCTACTTTTTGTGTTTTTGATTGCACCAGACTCACAGACTCACTTAAATAAAACAAATTTGATTGATTAATTTTTTTATTCATATGACTTTATAATGAGTAATACTGCTTTGCTTTAACAAAAGCTGTAAGTAAATCAAAGAAAGCAGACGGGTAAAACAAAAATGTTTTATCCCCCCTCTCTTATGAGTTAATTTATTACATTTATATATGTTATTAAATTTCGGGATCATTAAGATAGACTCCCAATTATATTGAATTAAATTAGAGCTAGTTATTAAATGCAAATTCTCTATTCAGGCAGATATAGGCGTATTTTATTTGCAACAGGAAAATTATATGTATGTATATTATTGAAGAAACAAATGTAATTGTATATTCAGCGAAACATAATTGTATATTGTATTTTGAGTTAATCTGTAATCAAATACCTAACTTTGATTAGTTTACCAATCATATTTTTAAATAAAGAGTGCATAACTAACGTAACGTCAAAACAATAGAAATCATTGAATTGTGTACATATTCTCATTAACTATCTTCAAAATACCAAAAATGATCGGTTATGTTTTAGCCTCAAATGATAATAAAATCTGAAAACATTGATTCTGTCGCTTCTGTTCAATCAAAAATAAATAATATCCGCTGAGTTTCAGAGATAAATATGACTGTTCAATATGCTGGGAATCGATATGAATAAATAATATTCGGCTATAGTGTATGTATGCGAATAAGATTAGATAAGCGCTGATTCTGGTCATAAGGATCGCGTTGTGCGATTATTTTATATGGTCGTCTGGAAGTTTTACCAAAATCCAGATGATTTTCCGCCAGGCGGATTCTTTACTTTAATGCAAGAACGAACGCCGGTTTTGTCCAGCTCCTCTGAAAGAAGAAATATAGCCGAATAAAATGAAATAGGTCCATTATATTTGGGCCAACTCACCGCTAATCGAAAATGAGGACTCCTGCATGTCTTTTCTGCCGTCCACGTGACCGCGCACCGAAGGTGTGCTGCAAGGGGAGTGTCCTGTCATAATAGGCAGATTCTCAGCGATCAGAGCAGACATTGTCTTCTCTTCTGGAATTAGAATATCTAACTCAGCAAACTTTTTGGCCAAATTGCCATTTTGATTTTCTTCGGGATGCTCTTCAGACACGTGCACTTTCTCCTTAACAATGTCATAAACATATGGCGGACGCACCGCCATCGGTATAAAACGACCATGTCCTTCTGCAACGCGAACAGCTCCGTTCTCGGCGCAAACTCGACCGCGCACCAACACATATTCAGGGACTCCATGTACAGTCATGCCCTCAAAAATATTATAATCACAAGCATGGTAATGGCTGTCCTTGGAAATGGTTCGTGTACCCTGTGGATTCCATATGACGATGTCTGCATCCGAGCCAACAGCTACGAAAATAATCAAGTCAAATGAGTATATCTTTGCATAAATACATGAATCTGTACATAGATGTATATCTGGAGTTACCTACCAATACGCCCTTTTTGTGGATAAATATTAAAGATTTTTGCAGCATTAGTGCTGGTGACAGCGACAAATCTACAGGGATCGAGAACGCCCTGATGCACTCCCTTCTCCCACACCACCGACATTCGATCCTCCACCCCATTGACGCCATTCGGGATTTTAGTGAAGTCGGATAAGCCAAGTTCCTTTTGCTTTTTATTGAAGGTACAGTTGTCACTGCCTGTTACCTGTAGATCATCACTGTCAAATAGGAAACGTTAATTACTTGGCGATAGATTATATCGATGAACTACTTACTATGCCAAGGATTTCATCAGCTGCCTTGGCGTTTCGGCAGACATGCGTATGGGCGGACTGGTAATATAATAAACCCGTTCCGCTTTGCCAACGCTGCTCATACTGCGGCCTATGGAGCTGGCGAGAGTTTCCCCGAATACTGAATAGCCGCTGCGGCGGGCGCGTCCAATCAGCTCGGCGGAGGACTTGCTTGTGACACCAGCGACGTATAGGGGTGTTTTCATCTAGGCAGATTTTAATTTATATATAGAATAGTTGATAAATGTCAATTGGTAATATTAAGGATTTATTTTGCAATGGGGTTGTTTTCAAGTAGTATGAGATCAAATACAGTATATGGGCGTTAAGTCTGTTCGACAATCCAGTATCTATATTACTTACTTCGCCAGAAGCTTGATCAGGAACTCGATCGTCTTCGTATAGTTACTGGACCCAAGGATTGGTCTAGCCTAGAGCCAGTTACTTGATATTAGTGCTGGCACCGATTCTCGATTCTCGAGTCTCTCGAATCGTGTGTCACAAGAGTACATTTAGCAGACAATCAAACTTTATATATTTTGCGAAAGTGCAGCAACATCAGGGGTTATGTTATTGGAGTTATATCAAGTGCCACAAACCGCATACATTCTTATTTATGTACAAGGGTGCATCATACATAATGGAAATAATAATAAATTAAAAAAGTAAATCATCAATTAAAGAAATATATTTATGTACATTATATTGTATATTGTAACATTTCCCAAGATCCACGAGCATTTAATTTATACAACTTTCAACTAAATTTATTTGGTCTTTCTTTGTCAGAGAAACATTTTAAAAATACTCACCTGGTGGGCTAAAATGCATGCGCGGTGTACAGCCTCGGCTTCAACTTCCTCTTGGCGCGAAAGCTCGTGTGCCTCAGGGCCAGAGTTACCATCGGCTAACAGGCTCTTTGTGTTCTTGGCTATTATATCACCATTCTCGGCATGAACCTTATGAAAAAAATTGCTAATAGAAGTCGTACACTGAGCTGAGACCAACAAGTAAAAGTTACCAATGCAATTCCATTAAGAAACCGAATTCTCTCGAAAATATCCAAGAGTTCAGCATCGCCCAACATGTAGAGACCTTTGTAGGCCATATACATTTTAAAGGAATTCACTCCCAGCTCTTTGCACAGAATACCGATCTCCTCGGAAACCGACTTCGACCACCAAGTTATGCCCACGTGCAGGGCATAGTCACAACAGACCTTCGGGTCCGCCCAGGCGCGCCAGTTGTCATAGGCTTCCACCAGAGACTCGTGTTTTTTGGGCAGAACACAATCAACTAATTTCAGTAAAATTATTATTATTATTAACTATTAACTAGAACAAAACAATTAATAATGAAGTGGTGCCTACTTATCATCGTTGTGCCACCAGCCACAGCCGCTTTGGTTCCGCGGTAAAAGCTGCCCAAAATAAATTAGATTAAAATTAAGTTTTAAGGAATTTACGAAGTAAATACATACTCGTCCACGGATACATGATCACCCATGGGACATTGAAAACGTGTGTGAGGATCAATGCCTCCCGGAATAATCATTCGTCCGGCAGCATCGATAACGCGCACACCTCCGGGAATCGTTATGTCGGAAGCGTTCCCAACAAATCTGGAGAGATCCAATAAAGTTCATTATAGCATACATTTCTTAAAAGATTTCTTTTAGTTAATACTTAATGACTCCATCCTCGATGTAGACGTCCGCCTTGAAACTTTTGTCATGATTGACGATTTGACCGTTTTTAATATAAATACGATTTTGAGCACTTTGTAAGTGTATGGGCACTTTCTTAACAGGCTTTGGGCTGCCGGACATGATTCTGGAATTAAAACATTGCAAAATGTCATCATATGGGACTTCAATTCGTGCACATACATATGTATGTATGTACTTATGTACGTATGAGCATATCAATGCGCTCAAACTAGTTAGTTCAATCGAGTACTATGTTTGGGTAATGGGAGCACGCGAGCGAGCATTGACCTTTATGTGTTTTCTTGATGTTGGTTATGCTTTCTGCGTTTTGTGAGAAAAAAAATAGAAAACATATTGTAGCAAAACGCGATACATCATGCCCATTCAAATGTTACAGAAAAAGCATATACGATATACATATACTATATGTATACTTAAGTCATTAAAGCCATATACATATTTGATAAAGTAAAATGGTATATACATGTACATATGACAGGCAAAATGATTTTTTCAAATAATTGAGTCATCGTCGTCATCATCATCATCATCATCAACATTGGCATTCTGTCGTTTAGCATATACATTATTTTAATGGACCCCAATACCAACACCCCTTTTACTGCAAAGGCAAAGTACGAATGTACATGAATACCCACATACATACATACAAGTCTACTAACGGTAATATAGTTTTCTGTATTTGTTGAATCGATAAAATAGCCCGGTTACAACATTTTAATATGCACAACGCAGACTCAATTCACGCGCATGGGGATAAGAATATAAATATCTATGTTTGTGTTACAGTAGAAATACTAACTTCTGTATATATCACTATTCATATACATTGTATATACATATGTATGCAAAAATTTAGTTAATAACACTAAAACCGTATATGTACATACACGAATATTAAAATGCAAACAGCTTGGTTAATAACTGCGTTTACCAATTTATAATTTATTTTGCCGATGGTACTATAAAATTAGCAATATAAGTAAATATATTTAATTACCAATTTAATTCAATATTTTATGATACGTGACCGTTGAAGCTCCAAGAAATTTAATGTTGAAAACCAACAAGTACACACCCAATTTTGCAGAAAAAATCTGATGAACTCACTCATCGATTGTTGTTATCGATGTTTCAGTGTTTCGGTGTGCCCGATTTTTTTTTTTTTTAGAAAATTTGCGTTCTTTTCAATTTATCCCACATTATGTATACATTCAAAAATACATATGCGCAAATGTCCTTATAGAATACAAAAATAGAATTATAGTGATATGAGTCGAAATATATAAAAAATAATATAATATGTATATCACACTAAAATAAAACTATTTTTATATAAAATCAATTATCATAAAATAAATATATGTTTACATGAAATTGGTAAGTTGGCGGCTGATTTGAAATTCAAATTGACAAGATTATTTGAACAATTTGGAATTCCCCTTGATATCAAATTGTTTATCATACTATCTTTATTCGAAATAATATACTATATTAATTGTATAAGAATAAGTGACCTGATGTAGAATTTAAGCCAAACTTGACATTTCACATTCATTTATTTAATTTTATTGGCCATTTAGTTGAAAACTCTTTTTAATTCATACCAAAAATATGCACCAAATATTGTAAGAAGTTTCCTATAAAGATGTTTGTATTATAGCTTAAATATTTTCGTTGACATTTTGATTCGGTCCAGTTCAGTCACAAAGTTGGTTTACAGTATGAATTAGACTGGGCTTATCAGAATTTTGGCAATCTCTTAGGCAATGGCGGAATTATCCTTGTCCTTAGCCACGGAATCCGCCTTGTCTGAGGCCACTCACTTACCGTTATAAAAAACTTTTATTGGATTTATAGTTAGCTTGAAGCAAGAATTCAATTATACATCATAAATGCCTCTATGATATTAATTAATATTTACCCACAATCACATCATTAAAAATGCATTTTCGTATATTATATATGTATGTATATTAATTAAATAATTAAATTAAGTTTGAGGGACATACATTTACATCCTAGCAAAATTATACACTAATAACTACAAGTAAATATATCGATATCGAGATGTTGAGTCATATTTGTGTTTTGGAAAACAACTACATAAATTAACGTATATCTTTAGGGCTTCAACTGATACTTGTATTCCTGTTGATCGACATGACGTAAGTATAAAGGGTTTTCTAATTGCCCAGTCTACTTGACTTGAATTTTTCTTTTAAACAGCAGTCCATTTTGTAATATTGCCATGTATTCTATAGCTTTAATCGCTTACAGTTTACAACATATCGCACATGGTCAAACTGAAGTGCTCAACGATTCTGCAATATTTGATTTTTGTTTTCTTCTTTCGTTTTGTTTTTATTGAATTTCCGCCTTTATGATATAAAGCGAGTTAGTTAATTTTCGCGATTCTTTCTGTATGGATTAGTTCGTATTCTTTTTTAGCATTTTTGTTTTTTTTTTTTTTTTTTTTTTCATTTTTGCATGAACTGTGTTTCATTAAGGTTGAATAATTTTTAAATTAATATTAAGATAAAAACTTATAATTTTAAGTTGTCATTTACGCCTAAATTACGTTTAATGTAAAATTAAACCTTGTTCCAGCAGCACTTCAGTAAATAATAAAAACAAAATAAAAATTACAACATTTAGTGCTCTCATTCCATAATTTTAGTGTTTTGTGCAGTTGGTTTGCAAAAAATAATTAATTACAAAACAAATTCAATCAATCAGTTTGAATCATTCGTCGACACATCACGCACACATAATACGAAATGACATTTGCCTTAAGCAACGCAAAAACAAAATACAAAATACAAGATACAATTTACAAATTAGTTAAGTATGTACAGTTTTTCCTTTCATTTTTTTGTTTGTTTTTGTTTTTGTAATGTATGTGGTATGTTATTTATCTTTCCCATCATTTTTTTATATCATTTTTGCATTTCTATTTGTCCACATAAATATCCATTTAATTGTATTACATAGTTCTTATCTGGTTTCTTACGCATATACGCATACGGTGTAAGGTTTTATGTTCAATATATGACTTCATACGACATATTATAATATTGTAAGTAGTATATTTTAGAATTTAAAAACTAACCTCTAAATATGTTTATTTTAACACACGTAATTCGTTATTATTTTTTCTTTTCTTTTTAATTTTATTTATATATATGTATATATATATAACGTATGTATATGTGTGTGTATTATGTTTTAATTAGTTTTTGTTTTTTGTTTTTTTTGTTTGTTTTTTGTTTATTAAATTTAATACATAAGTATGTTGTGTGCTTAATTGTTACGCATGCATCTATATGCAATTAAACCTTCTGCCGTAAGTTTGACGTTGAAAATTCATTGCTAAAATTTGAAAGGGCCTATAAGAACGCCAGACCATTTTCACGCATTTATATATATATATATATATATATATATATATATATATATATATATATATATATTTATATATATACATATATATATTATATTAACTATAGATTTTAGTGAAAAAATATACAGTTATTGTGTGACCATTGTAATTGAGTGGCCAGTGGTGTTATTGAAGCTGTTCTACATTTTCAGGGTTTCATTTGAAGCATACACAATCTGTGTCTATGCTTTAAAGGTCATTTGCTTTAAAAGTTCTATCCCATCATTTAGTACATTTACATTATTTGATTAAACACTGTAAAAGATACAAATCGTATTTTCCAATTATATCCATATATATATATATATATATATATATATATATACATATATATGCACGTATATCTTGTGTGTATGTTCAATCATTTCTTTTGTAAATTTCTTCGACTACACCATCGCCACGTCTCCAAGAGGAGTAAGTCTTTGCCGGCATCATCGTTGTATACTACGCAACGGCAGCTGTTGTGTTCGTGTTCGCTGGCGGCGGTGCAGTCGGTTGTGCCACTGACGGCGGAGGTGTTGCATTTGACGCTGCTGCGGCAGCGTCGTTGATGTGACCTAAATTGTTGGATGACACAGCGGAAGACGCAGCTGAGGGCGATTTGCCGACCTGTTGCTCGCTAGCTGTCACTAAGTTGTTCAGAGTGGGCTGACTACTGCTGCCCAGGCTGCTGCTGTTGGTCTGATTGCTGCTGACGGTGCCGCAGCTGTTGCTGTTGGTGCTGCTGTTGCTGACATCATTGAATGTTGCCGCTGGCGGCAGTTGCTGGCTGCTGTTGCTGTTATCGTCGTTGATTGCAGCTGTCGTGGCCACAGCAGCGGCAGGCTTGGCATCAGCCGCAGACAGCTCTGGCTGGGCGCAGGGCTCGGGCTTTACATTCAGCGTTGCTGGGGTACTTTGCTTTTCAGGCGGCGTCTGGTTTAGCCGCTGTTGTTGCTGTTGCTGCTGTCGCTGCTGCAACAATCTGTACTCCACCGAATGCAGTGGTCCGGTGCCGCGCGACACCTGGTATAGCACCCGAGATATGATCAATGCCACTTGCTGATCCAATATATGCGACATGACCAATCCAAGCAGTCTTTGCTCCTGCTGCATGAATAGCGAACGATTATCGGGATGCTTCGCCAAATGGAGCAGCGTCCCAGCTGCCCTTCGCAACATATCCAGGCTGGTTCCCATTGAGTCGGGATTCTCCCGGAGATAGTTAATTCCATGCTGGTTGGCCACACCCAACGCAGTTTGTTCCGCCTGTTCGATAAATGCAACGAGATACGAGATGCACGGGGATTGCAGGGCCACAGTACGCGCCATCGCACTGTCTGCTGCAGCCAGGTAATGCAGCAAGTTGACTGAGAACTCGCGCAACACCTGATCCTCGTTCCGACACAGATGACGCGTAAGCACCGCGCACAGTTTTTCCAGCCGTGAAAACGGTGGTGTCGCAATCACCAAATCAACATTTGCATCCGTGACACATAATTTGCAGAGCGCTTCCAGGGCGAGGCGTTGCGGGGATAACGCAGAGTTCGGGCCGCATGAAGGGAACGGGTCCTGGCCATGCGCACTGGGGCACACAGCCCAGTGCAGCAATCCATCGATTAGCGGGCGTGCAATTAGCTCATCATAGCGGGAGAGCTCCAGATGTCCGGCTATGTTTGCCATTGCCACGAGCATATTTTCTCGTATGGTTATTAGATACTCCCACCACCATTCGCGCTCTCCCTGCAGCGAGCTGCAGGAGTCGGTAAAGTCTGTATCCTCCTCCCTGTCGTAGTTGCGCGTCTTGGGAGTCCGCCGCAGGTGGTCGTGGTTCAACAATAGCAATCGACCGAGCACTGCTAGGAATCGCGACGACTTAGCCAACACCGTTTCGTTCCCAGGCACAAAAGTCAAATTTCGAAAAATATTGGAGAGCGCAATGCAGCGGCGCGCCAATGAGTCCTGACTTTCATTCACTAAGTACAAAGAGGCTTCGTCCCGCGTGTAGCATTCGTCCTCGTAGCTAGAGTCGCGGCGTCGCTGCAGGACATGCGCATCATCTCGCACCGTGGATTTGGGATCAAATCTCTTGGGCATTGAGGCAACTCCATTGGTAAGACGTTGTTGTTGCGGAGATTCGATTTCCATATCAATGGTCCGACAATCACTGTCGGTTGTATTGGCTCCCACGGTTTCGTTGTCTAGCTCCTTCTTCGGCTCCACAGCTGGCTGCGCAAACTCCTCCCCCATTTTGGACTTCTTGTTGTCGCTACTAGTTGCACCGATACTACCCACAAGGCGCCGCTTCTTATTGTAAGTCTGTTGAAGTAAACTACTGTCCTCGGTACTACTTGTGGTGTCCTCTTGCTTAAGCACAGGGGAAATATCTTCGTGTTTTGGGCTAATATTGCTTTTCTCTGCGGCTTCCTGTTTGCTCTTGTGCTTAGAGCGTATGTATCTCGCAAATGGAATGTTAACAATCTCTGACTTAAACACATCAATGATGCCATCAAGTGGGTCGGGTTCCGTGAAGCCATAGGTCCAAGCATTACTGCCCACTGGTTCCAGGTGTTCATACAACCTATTCGTGTCAATATCCCAAGCCTTTTGACGCTCGTCAACAAAAATATCGTTATCAGCGGTCTGAATGCGAACGGGCACACCCTTCCGTGTAACCATGGTGTAGTT